AGGGGCTGCCCTGTTCAGGTTGGGGACTGAGGTTTTTCGAGCCTGTTCCTCCTGCCACAACCTGTCCTCTTAAAAATATCGCTTTTGTCTCGCATGGTCTCGACGTCTCCCATTCTATGTTGCGCCCTTCCCCGCCTGCAAGGCGTTTGCGGTGGATGCCTTTTGGCAGGACTGGTCGAGTTGGAGTTACTTGTACCTCTTTCCCCCCGGTCCAGCTGTTGCTTCAGGTTCTGGCTCGTTTGAAGTCCTTCCCAGGGAGAGTAGTCCTCGTGGCCTCTTGGTGGCTGGCCCAGTTCTTGATGGCCAGTCGTCACAGTCGTTCCGTTGGCTCTGCCGGACATATGGACTCACGGACATGGACATCCTTGTGTCGGCATGGTCTTGGCGTCTCCCATTCTATGTGGCGCCCTTCCCCGCCTGCGAGGCATTTGCGGTGGATGCCTTTTGGCAGGACTGGTTGAGTTGGAGTTACTTGTACCTCTTGTCCCTGGTCCAGCTGCTGCTTCGGGTTCTGGCTCATTTGAAGTCCTTCCCAGGGAGAGTAGTCCTTGTGGCCTCTTGGTGGCCGGCTCACTTTTCTTTTCAGATGCTGCTTGTTCGGTGTCCGAACCCGGGGCATTTCCCGTGGTTCCGTCTCTTTCGGCAGGTTGTACCGGTCTGGTATGTTGCTGGTTTGGCCTTCTCCTCAGCTCTTCGTGTCTGGTCTTTTTGACACGGGTGTATCGATGGTGATCAGGTGGCTTCGTTGATGGTGTCCCACCTGCAAGCTTCGTCTCGGCAACCGTATGAAGTTTCCTGGCGTTTCTTTTCACCATTTTCTTGCTCTTCATAGGTTGTCTTCTCTTTCGGATCAGGTTGTCTTGTCCTTTCTTGTTTTTTTCAGGACCATCATTTAATGCTTATTACTGTCGCCTCATATCGTGTGGTGCTGGTGGAGCCGCTCCAGCTTGCGTTTGGGGTGGACATCACTTCTGCCTCGTTCTGTATGCTTTCTCGTGCTTTGTTTCACCTCCGGCCTGCTCATGTGCCGCTTGAGCCATCCTGGTCCTTGGAAAAGGTGTTCTCCTATCTTTCCTCTCCTCGGTTTGTGGTGGCCCCTTCAGTTCAAGATTGTTTTCCCATGACCCTGTTTTTGTTGGCATTGGCCTCTGGGGGTCAAGTCGGGGAGCTTCTTGCTCTCCTCCTGTGCATGGGTTTCTGCTCTTATGGTACTGGTGGTAGGTTTGTACGTTTGCAGGCTTCTCCGTCTTTTCTGGCAAAGACCGAGATGGCTGCTTTCAGGAGGGGTCCTTGGATTATTGATGGTTGTTGGTTTGCCCGGGGGTGCATCATGTGTTGTGTCCTGTTGTGGCTCTTCGCCGTTACCTGCACACCTCAGTTTTGGTGGCTGGTGATGCGCTTTGGGTTGATCTGGTTTCCCTCATTCACTGTTCCAGGGATTGGGTCTCCCAGGTCGTCCGCAGGATTATTCAGTCTAGCTAGCCTGTGGTCTATCCTCGCGCCTTTGCCGTTCGGCCGTTTTCAGCTTTGGCTGACATGTTTGGTAACATGTCTTGGGCTCATATTCGGGTCCGGGGATTTGGTGGTCGCACAGGTCCTGGCCGCTTGTCATTTTGTAAGCGTATCTGCTCCTGGGCGTTCTTGTGTTGCTTTGGGTCGCAGGTTGCAGCCTGTTGTCTCGACTTCGCGTTGCAGAGTTTGTGGCAGCCGCCTCCTGGTTCAGCCCTCTCTTTTCCTTCTCTTTGGATCGAAGGAAGCCGGTCGGCCGAGCGGACAGCACGCTGGACTTGTGATCCTGTTGTCCCGGGGTCGATCCTGGGCGCCGGCGAGAAACAATGGGCAGAGTTTTTTTCACCCTATATCCCTGTTACCTAGCAGTAAAATAGGTACCTGGGTGTTAGTCAGCTGTCACGGGCTGCTTCCTGGGGGTGGAGGCCTGGTCGAGGACCGGGCCACGGGGACACTAAAAGCCCCAAAATTATCTCAAGATAACCTCAAGATTGGGTATGTAGCTCCAGGAAGCCGTAGGGGCTCCCCTCAGAAAACCAGCGTTGAATGTAATGAAATGCCATTTTCTAGGTGAGCTCTGGAGGTTCCCTGGCAACCCTCCCTCCCACCAGTCGGCAGTTTTTTCATGTTGAAGCTTAGCTTCCGAACTGAAGTGCTAGGCAGTCGGCGCGGGGAGGTTTTGGGCCCCCCTGTCTCACTCCCGGTAGAGGGAGGGCTACACGGCAGTAGTGTGTTATGTTTGCTTGTTTCCTTGAGATTGAAGGGAGTTCTACCTTTCTTTTCGGTTTTTGTTGTTTCTTACCATGTGGGGTTTGTTGTGTTATGCCTACCTTTCTGGGTGCCTAACCCTGGTCGATGGCAGATAAGGAAAACCCCAACCACAGGGGGGGGGGGCAGGTTCTGGCGCTGATCCCTGGTAGGTCTGAACACCATAGCTAATGTCCCGGTCTAATATAACATACATTAGCTCAATAAGCTTCAGGGAGCCTCCAGGGCTCGCCCAGAAAATGGAGTTTAATTACATTCAACGCTGGTTTAATATAAATTATAGTTTGCAAAAAATCATTTGGTATTTAAATTACTTGTACATCATTGTAAATGGGAATGCTAAATGTTTTTTCATTCACATATTTTGAAGGTCTAATTTTGGAACATATATCTGTCATGATTAATGGAATATTATACTCAAATTCAAGAGAATGTTATGGCAACGACTTTTCCCTTTGATCTTCTCAGAACACTGGTAGGTTTTTATGAAAATATAATCATTGGTTAAAAATTATATATTTACAGTAATACAAAAGTTTAAATTGCTATAAGAAATTTAGGAGGAAAGTAATTTACTTTGCAAAATGGTTCATAATTTGATGTGTTTGAGTTCTTATTAATCCTATTAGGTTATTTAATTAGTATGGTATAATTTTGCATTCATGTGAGAAATCTTATTTTACTCATACCTGCATATATGATGTCTTTGAAGACAATAATGAATGCTTTTTGTTATGTCCAAGAGAGTGCTGGTATTCTCTCTAATTTCAAAACTATATTTGTTAAAATTGTTATATCTATGACTTGAGCATAAATTTAAATTTTAATGTTCTTTTATTTTGAATTCCATTCATCACATGATTTAGAATCAAATTGCAATGTGGAACATTTGTTGCAAACATTCCATTTTGATTTGGTAAGATAAATGTTTTTAAATTCTTTATATATTTCAGTTCATTAAGTAGGTTTCTTTACCAAAACAAAATGGTAAATATACCATATGTACTAAAACTATGCTTGCATTTAGCTCACCTTCATTGCATGGCAGCAATAAATTATTTATATTTATATTTATGTCAGTCTAAATAATATTGAGAACTCTTTTATCTATTTCATTAGATTGTTCCATATGGCAGTGTTCTGTTATTTTCAAGGACAGGACCAAGCACAGACAAAGCTGGTTGACATTTTATCCAAAACTATGAGGACCTTTTTAAATGTCTCCGATGGCTCATACTGGGGCAAGACAGGCACTGGAAAATACTTTATCAATCCTGCAATATCTTCCAGAGGGTTCATTCAACTACACTCAAAAGCCATGCAAGTGGTAATTAGCCTTAATAAGACAACCAAGAAGTGCTCTTGCTAACTACAAATTGGCCTGCTAGGCCACTACACTTGACCTCCACCAGATGTCAGCACACACCTGTCATCAGAGTACATAGCCTCAGCCAATCTCACATACATTGTCATTCCCCATCAGCATACATAGACTGGCTGAGTCCTTTATTTTTCAGTAAATTCTGGCTATGCTTTGTAATACTAGCCAATTCAAGGAAAAGGGGCTTGACATTGGTATGTGCCCGCCAAACACACACCGAAACTACGACGTTGGTACAACGTTCGAACAAGTTTTAACACCACCTAACCAGTTATAACAACCAATATATCAAGTTGTAACAACGTTCCAATACGTCATAAACACATTAAGCCAAGATGTAACAACTTTATTACAAGTTGTTACAAGCGGAAAATAGAGACAGTTTCGGTTTGTGTTTCCAGGGTGAGCTGCTTCTTTGTACTTAGAAAAACATTTCCAAGTCATGTAGCATTCATCCAGGTCCTCTGACCTTCAAAACAGGTGCCGAACCCCAGTAAATGCTGCTATCTGTTGGCAGCAGTATCAATGTCACTCGCACACACCTATTTCAACTTTTTTTTTTTTTTATGTAAATAAGGTATGCTGTATTGTTTATACATTGCAATATGTCTTCTTGTTTAACATTCATTCACCATATTGAGTTTTATAATGATTAATGGTAAAAGTGAAAATAGTGTCTTCTGAGCAGGCCACCAAGGTGTTTTCATTCCTTCCCTATTTGTCCCAACTTTCCCAGTAATGTTTTAGGCTCTAGTCAGGCCAAATTTAAGGAAGACGGCACCTAACTACCTTATTGACTTGTAGGTGCTGATATTTTGTGGTAGTTTTGGTAATAGCCAGGTGGGCCAACTATCGGTTCACACACTGCTTCTAAGCTGTCACTTTGATTTTTGAGTGGTGCTTTTAAGAACTTTTGTTTGTAGATGACTGAAACTTCTGGAAGTCATTCTGTACTGAAAAGTCTTCTGCTGTGCCTTCCTTGCCCCAGTATGATGCAGCAAGAATGTTAGAAGTAATACTCCACTGTGCAGGTGCAGAATGTTGACTGGCCCTGACTGCGCTTTGTTACATTACGTACTTGGCAAGTGCACCACTCTGCCCAAGCAGCTTAGTAACCTGATCAAAAACAAGCTTTTTATCTGCTCTCAAAACACTTTTTATTTGTGTTTTTGCATAGTCTAGATAAATCTATACTATTAATTTTATTACATATGGTACCCTTATCTGAATAACATTATAGATATATCTAAACCAAGTCATAGATGGATAGATTTCACAGTTCTGTATGGTGCAGATGTGCATGTTCTCGTGTCTCATTTGTTCATTTGTTTGTTTTATGCAGGGTCAGCCATCCCCATTATAAAGGGTATGTACTAGTGTGTCCTGCCCAGGCTTGCCCACTCTTGCATGTACAGTATACCAATTAATCCACTAGTGGTGTGTCATATTCATTTGTTCCATTATAGAACTTAATTGATTAACAGTTTGGTTTCAGTATAATAATGCTATTTCTCATAGTTCTTACATTTCCAGTTTCCTATTTAGTTTCTGCATCTTTTTAATGTTACTTAAGTATCATTCTGTTTCCATTTTGTAAAGTTTATGTTTAACCATCCGGCTATTATTTGTCTCTCAAGTACCAGTATTTTATTTCTTGTAGACCCTCATTTGTTCATTTTCAGTGACTATTCATAGTACTGCTTATCATTTCTAACTTGAAAGTTCTTACTTGCTATCATTTAATTTCTAAGTTTTCTTAAGATTTGTGTTCTTATTTTAATTTATTTAATTTTCAAGACTGTTATCTGGAAACACCTAGATAGCTTTATATTACTCCTTTGTAGTCATTTTTATGAGCATAACAACAAATATCAAGTGCCTTTGTACCTGATCGAGATGTCAACCCTAATACAAGTTCTAGTTATCCAACCATCCACAGCACAGTATATTTAAAACAAAGTCCTCAAATTCACTTCTAGCTTCAAGTTATGCAATGCAGTAGTCTTTTTAAGATATATATATATATGTCGTACCTAGTAGCCAGAACGCACTTCTCGGCCTACTATGCAAGGTCCGATTTGCCTAATAGGCCGAGTGATTTTCTATAATTTCAATAAATTGTTTCCAATTAGTTTATTAGAATTATTATTATTATATTATATTAGGAACATAATTTATTGACTTAGTTGTGTTAGTTTAGGTTAGGTTAAGATACGTTAGGTTAGGTAGGGTTGGTTAGGTTTGGTCATATATCTATATTAGTTTTAACTCAAATTTTAAAAAATTAACTTATACATAATAAAATGGACAGATTTATCATTTCATAAGAAAAAAATAGAAAAATACATAAATTCAGGAAAACTTGGCCTATTAGGCAAATCGGGCCTTGCATAGTAGGCCGAGTACGACGTTCTGGCTATTAGGTACAACATATATATATATATATATATATATATATATATATATATATATATATATATGTCGTACCTAGTAGCCAGAACGCACTTTTCAGCCTACTATGCAAGGCCCGATTTGCCTAATAAGCCAAGTTTTCCTGAATTAATATATTTTCTCTAATTTTTTTAATATGAAATGATAAAGCTAGCCATTTCATTAAGTATGAGGTCAATTTTTTTTTATTGGAGTTAAAATTAACGTAGATATATGACCGAACCTAACCAACCCTACCTAACCTAACCTAACCTATCTTTATAAGTTAGGTTAGGTTAGGTAGCCGAAAAAGTTAGGTTAGGTTAGGTTAGGTAGGTTAGGTAGTCGAAAAACAATTAATTCATGAAAACTTGGCTTATTAGGCAAATCGGGCCTTGCATAGTAGGCTGAGAAGTGCGTTCTGGCTACTAGGTACGACATATATATATATATATATATATATATATATGTCGTACCTAGTAGCTAGAACGCACTAATCGGCCTACTATGCAAGGCCCGATTTGCCTAATAAGCCAAGTTTTCCTGAATTAAGTTATTTTCTCTAATTTTTTTCTTATGAAATGATAAATCTACCCATTTCATTATGTATGTTGTCAATTTTTTTTTATTGGAGTTTAAATTAACGTAGATATATGACCAAACCTAACCAACCCTACCTAACCTAACCTAACCTATCTTTATAGGTTAGGTTAGGCTAGGTAGCCGAAAATGTTAGGTTAGGTTAGGTAGGTTAGGTAGTCGAAAAACAATTAATTCATGAAAACTTGGCTTATTAGGCAAATTGGGCCTTGCATAGTATGCTGATAAGTGAGTTCTGGCTACTAGGTACGACATATATATATATATATATATATATATATATATATATATATATATATATATATATATATATATATATATATATATATATATATATATGTCGTACCTAGTAGCCAGAACTCACTTCTCAGCCTACTATTCAAGGCCTGATTTGCCTAATAAGCCAAGTTTTCCTGAATTAATATATTTACTATAATTTTTTTCTTATGAAATGATAAAGCAACCCTTTTCTCTATGTATGAGGTCAATTTTTTTTTATTGGAGTTAAAATTAACGTAGATATATGACCGAACCTAACCAACCCTACCTAACCTAACCTAACCTATATTTATAGGTAAGGTTAGGTTAGATAGCCAAAAAAAGCTAGGTTAGGTTAGGTTAGGTAGGTTAGGTAGACGAAAAAACATTAATTCATGAAAACTTGGCTTATTAGGCAAATCGGGCCTTGAATAGTAGGCTGAGAAGTGCGTTCTGGCTATTAGGTACGACATATATATATATATATATATATATATATATATATATATATATATATATATATATATATATATATATATATATATATATATATATATGTCGTACCTAGTAGCCAGAACGCACTTCTCAGCCTACTATGCAAGGCCAAATTTGCCTAATAAGCCAAGTTTTCCTGAATTAATATATTTTCTCAATTTTTTTTCTTATGAAAAGATAAAGCTACCCATTTCATTATGTATGAGGTCAATTTTTTTTATTGTAGTTAAAATTAACGTAGATATATGACCGAACCTAACCAACCCTACCTAACCTAACCTAACCTATCTTTATAGGTTAGGTTAGGTTAGGTAGCCAAAAAAGTTAGGTTAGGTTAGGTTAGGTAGGTTAGGTCGTCGAAAAACAATTAATTCATGAAAACTTGGCTTATTAGGCAAATCGGGCCTTGCATAGTAGGCTGAGAAGTGCGTTCTGGCTACTAGGTACGACATATATATATATAATATTACATTATATATAATGTAATATAATGCACTTCTTGGCCTACTATGCAAGGCCCTTTTGCTTAATAGGCTGAGGGATTGTCTATATTTCCCATAAATTGTTTCCAAATGGTTTATTTGAAATATTATTATTATATTATAATAAAAACATAAATTATTGACTTAGTTGTGTTAGTTTAGGTTAGGTTAAGATAGGTGAGGTTAGGTTAGGTAGGGTTGGTTAGGTTCGGTCATATATATACATTAGTTTTAACGTAATTTGAAAAACATTAACTCATACATAATGAAATGGATAGCTTTATCATTTCATAAGAAAAAAAATTTGAAAAATATATAAATTCAGGAAAACTTGGCTTATTAGGCAAATTGGGCCTTGCATAGTAAGCCAAGAAGTGAGTTCTGGCAACTATGTAAGATATATATATATATATTCCTCCGAGGCTTTGGGTCCCCCTTCTTCCAGCTAGAGGTGGTACTCCCTTCTATTTATACATATATATATATATATATATATATATATATATATATATATATATATATATATATATATATATATATATATATATATATATATATATATATATATATATATATATATATATATATATATATATATATATATATATATATATATATATATATATATATATATATATATATATATATATATATATATATATATATATATATATATATATATATATATATGCGAACAAGCCAGAATGGTCTCCTGGACAATATGCAACTGAAAACTCACACCCCAGAAGTGACTCGAACCCATACTCCCAGAAGCAACGCAACTGGTATGTACAAGACGCCTTAATCCACTTGACCATCACGACCGGACATAATGAGGTGATAGCCGAGGCTATTTGAACCACCCCACCGCCGGCACTCGGATAGTTATCTTGGGCATAGCATTTTACCAAATCACCTCATTCTTAGGGGCACACGTGAGGAACACAAATGCGAACAAGCCAGAATGGTCCCCTGGACAATATGCAACTGAAAACTCACACCCCATCCGGTCGTGATGGTCAAGTGGATTAAGGCGTCTTGTACATACCAGTTGCGTTGCTTCTGGGAGTATGGGTTCGAGTCACTTCTGGGGTGTGAGTTTTCAGTTATATATATATATATATATATATATATATATATATATATATATATATATATATAAAAATATACAGTGGCACCTTGACTTTCGATTGCCCCTACTTATGATAATTTCGAGTAACGATGGAAATTTCATAGAAAAATGCGACTCGACTTACGATATTTGTTGGTACACGTTTGAGTCGGCCGAGCGCGTCATTCCCGGTCACGCGACTGACCTGCCTCAGTTTACTGCAGCTGCCCGCTTAGTGACAATCGCGCCTATAAGAAATTTCACTTTTGTGGTGATTTTTTGCATTTTGAACATTAAAGTAATTATTATATATCACACATGAGTCCCAGGAAAGTCAGTGGTAAGGCTCAACATATGAGATCCCATATAAGGATGACCATAGAGCAGAAGCAAGAGATCATTCGTAAATATGAAGATGGTGTGCGGGTTGTTGGACTGGCTAGGCAGTACAACAAATCTCAGTCAACGATATCCACCATACTGGCTAAGAAAAAGAACATTATGGGTGCTAAAGTGATGCATCATTACAGACATGTTAAAACGAAGGGAAAAAAAATGTCTCTACAAAATAATAGCGAGACAAACAAGCACTGAACAACAACCAGGTCCTAGTGGTATTCCAGCAAAACGTAGGAGAGAGAGAGAGAGTACCCCAGAGAAAACATCACTGCCTGATGTGATAATGGAAGGGACTCCCCTTCCAAACAGTAACAACGCTCCTCCTCCCTCATCACCATCTTCCATATGCCATCAAGAGCTCTAAAGGGATTTGAATTAATCCGTTCCCCACCCTCCAAAATATTAACATACAAATACATTTTGTACTGAATACAATGTTTTTTTTCTAACTACAATACAGTACCTAAGTTTATCTTACCTTTATGGAGGGCTCTTGATGGTGTATGGAAGATGGTGATGAGGGGGGGAGGAGGAAAGTTGTTACCGTTTGGAAGGGGAGTTCCCTTCCATTATCACATCAGGCAGTGATGT